AGGCGGGGAGATTTTTATGTGTGTTTACAAGTCAGATTGCCTAAAAAAATTGCTCTTATTAACGAAGGAAGGTTACGCAATATTCAGCGAGAAACCAATTGAAATCCTGCACGTGATTTTTTAGAAAAAAATAAGAATGTTATTGAGGAATAAAAATTATTAAGCCATACTTGATCTAATGAGAAAAAGAGAATTAGTGTAAAAAACCCAAAATAATTGCTTATTTATCGCAAAAAGGCGGTGTGGAAAGTTTGCTCTCTCCCGTGTCCTTTTTGAAATCACAAAAAAACATTTAATATCAATTAAAAATGCCAGAATTACCCGAAGTTGAAACTGTTCGTCAAATATTAAGAGCCGAGATAATTGGAAAAAAATTTCAAAAAGTAGAAATTTACAAACCAAAAGACGAAGTAAATAAACGAGTAAGTTTAGTTAAAAAAATGAGCGAGGAGGAATTTGTTAGTTTACTAGCAGGCAAAACTATCCATGAAATAGAAAGAAAAGGAAAATGATTATTCTTTATTCTTACCGACCAAGAAAAAAACAAAACCCATGTTTTAATTAGTCATTTAGGGATGACCGGAAAATATTTTGTAGAGGAAAAATTACTTACTCCGGAACAAAAAAAAATGTTTGAGAAACACAATAATGAAAGTGCGAAAGGTTTAACTTTTTATTTAGCAAACGGGCAAAAGTCAGCAACATTAACTTATAGGGATGCTCGCCGGTTTGGGGGCTTTCGTCTACAAACTTTTGAGGACTATAAAAAAATGGAGCCTTACAAAAATATTGGAACCGATTTGTTGGATGAAAAAGTGGACGCTGAATCGCTATTTCAGCATTATCAAAAACGTAAAATTCCCATTAAAAATGCTTTATTAGAACAAAAAATAATTAGCGGAATTGGTAATATTTACGCTTCAGAAATACTTTTTGACACTAAAATACACCCTCTAAAAAAAACAAATCAACTTACTGAATCGGAAGTAAAAAACATAATTTTTTCGGCTCAAATCATTTTAAGGGAGGCTTTGAAATGAGGAGGAACTTCGGAGTTTGATTTTGTTAATCCTTTAAGCAAAGAAGGTTCTTTTCAAAATAAACTAAAAGTCTATAATCGAAAAGGAAAATCTTGTCATAACAATTGTGGAAGTTTAATTGAAAAATTGGAAATTAACCAAGAAAAAACCGCCGAAAAAAAACCAAAAGAACGAAGTACATTTTTTTGTCCTAGATGTCAAATATTAGGATTGTAACGATGACAATATTAAAAAACCAATAAAAAAAACTTATAGATTATGAACATAAAAGATTTTTTTGAGTTAGTTTTTGTGGTTGCAGCCGGGATTGCTATGCCTTTTATCGTAATTGGCAGTTATTTTAATTTTTTTCCTAATCCTGATGACCGCCGCAAAGTAGGGGCCATTTTTTTTTTAATTATTAGTATTATTTACGCTTTGGCTTACACTTATTTTGCCTGAAAGGCTATAAAAAGGGATAATGCCAGTTGAAAAAGAATTGTGGAAGGAAAAGACCCCAAAAAAAATGATAAAAATGAATAAAAATATTTTGTTGGCAAAAAGAAATACATTTTTTTTACTCTTTTGGGATAATTTTATTATTATTTTTATATCATTTTTCTTTTTGTTTGGTCTTTTCTTGCCTATTTTGCACTCGTC